CAGATGGGGTTGGAGAGCTGTGTCTCAACTCAGGATGGGGTCCTCAGCCTGTACCGCCTGGAGCTTCGGGCTCCTTTTCTGCTCCTCACCCTTTTCTGGGCCAGTGGAGCATGGGCTTCCCAGTCTGAATGGGGTACAAGGTCACAGGAGGCTGAGCAGCTCCTATGATACCTCTGCAGGGAAGGGAAGGGTGCTCCACTGTCTACTGCTCCTGTGGGCTGGCATGGAAGATGAGGTGCGATGACTGGGAGGACCCCCGGCTGAGTAACCCTAAGAGGCCTTGACCCCACAAGGGCTAAGGGTCTGAGGGCGACTGTCCCCCATGCTGCTCCCCTGCCTGTAGTGCTCTACCCTCTGGGGCTCGGGACTGGATTCCATGAAGTATCCCAAATCACCGAGCCCTCCGTTTTGGGCACCCAGAGGCCTGGGCAGTGGGGTTCAGAGGAAGTCGCGGTTGCATTAGGCTCAGAGCTTCAGGGTCCCTATGTCTAATGGGCTCAGGTGTGCGGCAGGTGGCAGATGCCACCGTGGGCTGGGTAGGTGTTGGATACGGACTGCAGTCGTCTTTCGTGAGTGTCCTGGGCTTGGGTGGTGGCCACCACACAGTCCTCTCTTCAGGAACCTTCGTGCTGCCCAGGAAGGAGCCTAGATTTAATCTGTGCTGCCTCCTGTTCTGGAGCCTGCAGCACTGGTGGGTGGGTGACCGCCCACCTGCACTGGAAAAAAGCTTTCTTCTGGGTTGGGGGCCCATGCTGCTGCCTCCCTGGCCTGGCTGGAACTCCATGCATCTTGGTCACTGGCTCTGGGAAAGGCTGTGGTCCTGGACCATGTGGCCCATCTCATGTGCCTACTCCTCAGCACCTCAGATGTTTTACTGTGTGCGGAGCCAGCCTCTCTGGATGCAGACCATGGACTCAGTATTCAAACCTGCACAACTGTCCCTGCCCTGCCCTGCCCTGTTTTCCAGGCTGGACAGACCCCCCCTCCACGCCCTCGGGCTCCCCATGGGCCTTCCCTCAGCTGCCACTCTGCCTGGGATGCCTACCCCTTGGCCCCTTTGGATCCAGCCTTGCCCTGCTGATGCTCTTCTGTGCTGGAGGGTCTTTCAGTGCCCCCCCCAGGCCTCTTCTGGTGCCAAGCCCCAGGGACTGGCTTGGGGCCTGGGGGCCACTGCTTCCTTGGGAGAAGGTGCTGCCCGGTGGGCAGAGTCATAGAAGGCACACAAGATGCCTGTGCTTTTTTTTTTTTTTTTTTTTTTTTTTAGGGCTCAGTTAATTAAATAAATCAGCTAATGAGCAAAGGAAATTAATTGCAGTCTTGAAATGTGACTGTATCTTTGTGTGTTTTGCCTGCCAGCAGAACCTGCTGGTGCCTTTGCCACCTGCTGCCTGCTCCACCACCCGGGAACTGGGAAGCAAGGGGCCCTATCTGGAGCTGTCCTCGGACTGCCGATGGGAAGGGGGTATCCCCTGGGTGGCGCATCTGGCCAGGGGTCAGTCCACACAGGGAGGGCGGCAGGGGGGGCTATGTACTGTTGCTGGTCTCCTGGGATCGGGCCCAGGTTCTTGGTGGTAGTGGGTAGACCCTGCCCTGAACACAGCTGGGGCCAGCTGTTGCTATAGCCAGGTAGGAAGGAGGTGGTTGCCAGGAAGGGTCCCTAGAGCCTCACAAAGAATTGAATGGGTCAAGGTTTGGGGTGTTGTCTTGGGGACAAGGTTTGTCTTCCTACCCTTGGGGTCCCTGGGCAGCTTCTACACACTGCTTGGACTTTTCCGGGCATACAGACCGGCCTGCTGGGACTGTGCCCCGCGCCCACACACCCGGTGCCATGCCCTAGCCAGCATGCTTGTCTGGCATGTGGGTCAGGCAGGCCCAGCGTCTTCGCTGGCCTCCACCATCGGCCAGCCATAGAGGGCTGCTCTGCCCTGCTCAGATGCTGGCCGGGTGGTCAGTGAGCCGGGCAGGCAGAGATCTGGCTGGGAGACCTGGGTCCTGTCTGCCCCTGGCAGTGATGCACGTTCCCTTCTGAGTGCTGAACTAGCTGGCCAGCCCGGCCCTGTCCAAGGCCCTACCCTTTAACAGCATGTGATGATCAGTTTTGTCAGCTGGCTGGACTCATGGGCGCAGCACCTGTGTAGGTGCTGCCTGTGTCTTCAGATGTGGTGACCTTTAGGTCAGTGGCTGTGACCACAGCAGACAACCCTCCATTCTGTCAGTCCTTGGGCGAGAGAGGGACCTCAAGATAGGACAGGGGATCAGTGCCTTGCATGGGCCTATGGATGGGCAAGGGGATGGGGACAGGCAGTGGGCCATGGGTCCTGAGGGCCATTCACTGGGCTGAGGTGGCCACAGTGACCGCACAGGATGGGGTGTACTGAGCACTGCCCTGCGCCAGGCACCACCCCAGCAGTCTGCCTGAATTGCTAGCACTGCTGTCATGGTTTGGAGGTGCGGAGGCTGGGCTTAGGGGCTCAGGGCCTCACAAGAGCCTCGTCCTGAGCAGGGTTCCCATCCTTAGCGTCTGGGGGTGAGGCTGTGGTCTTCCTGACTCACGATGATGCTGGTCCCCTGTGAGGTGCTGGCTTGGGCTCTGCGTGTGCGGTGCTGGAGGTGGAACCCAGGCCTGAGGCGCAGGATCCAAGCACCTCAGCACTGATCTGCCCTCCCAGCCCCAAGGCTCTCCTGCGGGGCAGCAGAGGCATCGGTGTGAGCGGGCTCTTCTCTGCTTTTCCCTTTGAATGAGGCCGCCTGTGCCACATGCAGTGTGGTTGTCTCCACAGGGGAGCCAGGGCCAGTGGAGGAAGTGGCCACAGCAGCATGGTGGTGAGTCAGAGCCCTCAGAGCAAGACCCACCCATCGTTTAGCCGATCACAGCCTGGTGAGGCAGGGTTCTCTCATTTGTGAAGGACAGGATGCACATCCCAAATGTTGGGGAGCGGGTTTGTTACCTGGCAGCCCTGGGCTCCACGCGCAGCTGGCTCCATGTGATCACGCTCTGATTCTCTCAGCCTCTTCTGCACTGTACCACTGCTGCCTCCTCCTTGTGACTTCATCTGCAGCCAGGTTTCCCATGCCTGCTGCCCACCGTGTCTGGTGGGAAAGAAGTGCAGAGGGCATCTGAATTCACCTACCTTGCCTGGTAGCCCAAAGCAAGGCCCTGAGACTGACAGTCACTCCCACGAGTCTGCTGGCTTTGCTCCCCACCCTTCTGGAAAAGGCAGTGGAGAGGCTTGGCTGGGTTCTTGACAGGATCTGGTGGGGGGGTGGCACGCTCCACCCAGTGAGCATCAGCAGCACCCATGACAAGAGGGTGCCTGGCTGGAGTGGCTCCCCAGGGACTGCTATGCTTATGGCCCAAACCCCAGCTACAGGTGGAGGGTGTCCAGGAGGGATCCTTGTGTCCTGCGGGTGGAGAGGAGCAGGAGACAGGCACTGGGGCTCAGGGAGCCAGGAAGGAGCATCTGTGTGGTGGCATTGACCCCCGGCACGGTGGCCGGCATTGGGTGTGAGCTGGGAGGTCAGCACCTGGAGCAGCAGCGGTAGGGCTCATGGGTGGGTTCAAGAGTCCCAGGCTGGGCACAGAGGAGCTTGGTGGCCTGGACCGATGCGAGCGCAGGAGCATGGTTAAGCCGTGGGTACTGTGCTCCGGGTTCGATGCCCACCCTGAAGTTCTTCTGAGTCACTGAATGAGAGCCCTGGAGTCGGGGGGACACAAGGTCCTCTTAGTGCCTTCTTACCAGGGCCGGTCTCACGCTGACCACCTGCTCACCCCACCCTGAAGGTATCCCCTTACTGCTGCAGGTGGATAGTTCTAGAAAGTGAGTGGGGCCCAGAAGCACTGCCTTCTAGGCAGTGCCTGCTGATGGCCCTCATACGCCTGTAGCCGCTGAGCTGCCCAGGGCTCTAGGAGGATTGCACAGACTCCTGCTGTCCCTCTTTATCCTAGCACTTGGGGTGCCTCCCCAGGGCCTGAGTGGGCTTCTGGGTGGGCCTCTGTCTGCAGCCTGCTGGGGGAACCCATGCGTGACAGGTGTCTGAAGTCTCGTGCCAGACGATGACAGAATTTACCAAGAGTAGAACAGGTGCAGAAGGGAGTGTTCTGACGCACACACTGGGAGCGACTGGGGGAGGCCGGGAGAGGGGACCCCAGGCGGGGCTGGAGCGGGCAAGGATGATCTGCTGTGGCTGTTGGCATTTGAGCAGTGTGTGCCTGTGTTCCTGCGAGAGGCTGTGCTTCAACATCTCTGAAGTGTCAGTCAGGAATACACCTTGGACCCAAAGCATGAGACGTTCTTGTTGTCTCGTGTCTGCCAATAAGAATAGATTGAACCGTAGAATTGTCTATAATACATCCACTTTGGTCAGAGGAGGCTGTGTGGCCATGAAAGGGGCACGGAGCACGTGGAGGGCTTTGTGGGTCAGGCAGTGAGCTTCTAAATGGTAGTAATTGCACCAGAGAACCTGGATGTTGAGGGCGAACCCCCAGAACTTACAAGGAGAAAGAGCAACGTTGAGCTGCCTGGAAAACGGGGCAAAGCCAGAAGGAAGATGACCTGAGAGGCTCTTGCTGAGTGTAGGTTCTAAACAGCAGGTTTTCTGCTTCCCAAAAGTCTAGGAAGGAGATGCTTGCGTTTAGGAAAAGCGATGGATGCTTATGCACTGCCTTCTGGACAGGCCTCGTGGCACTGGCTCTCTTTTTTATTTTGGTCACTGTTGGTGGGCAGACATGCGTCTTCCCTTCTGCTCTGAGGGTCTTGGGGCCTTTCCCAGGGCATGAGGTCACAGGCTGAAACCAGATAGATGGGGTGGGGGGCAGGAGGCAACATGGGGTTGGGATGCTGGGGGCAGCTCACGTGGGTGGTGGAGCACCCACTTTGGGGTAATGCCCTGGAGCCCTGCAGGCCTTGGCAGCATGGTCCGTGTTGCTTCTTCGTGCTGTGGGGTGGGGGCAGCGTCCAGTGCGCCTGGCTGCTGACCACGTCTCTTCCTCTGCCCTGCAGGTTCCTCCTAGTCTTCTCCTGCCTTGTGCTGTCTGTGTTTTCCACCATCAAGGAGTATGAGAAGAGCTCGGAGGGTGCCCTCTACATCCTGGTGAGCCTGCCAAACGGGCGTGTGGGTGCCTGAGGATCCTCCTGGTGCTCAGCCTCCCGGCCCCTGCCCAGCCCTGGGATGGGCATCAGCATCTGCCACATGCTCTGCACACCTCCCATGCTCTCTGGAGCCTGAGGACCCTGGTGTGCCCCCCACCAGCTGTGGGGTGTCCCCAGCAGAGTGGCGTGGGTATGCTCCCCTCAGGGGCTGTGATGATCCCAGCAGCCCCAAGATGGGATGGGGTGGGCACCATGGCAACGGCAGTGTCATTTCTGCATTGCTTTTGGTAATGGGGGTGGACTGAAAGCATGCCCCACTCCCCACCCGCTCCTCTGCCTGAGGCAGCCTGAGTTCTGGGTGGCAGCTGGGCTCCCTGTACCAAACCTGGGACCCTCATCAGTGCAGATAAGCAGACTGAACGAGGACCCTCTGGCCCAGTGTGGATGGGCATATTCCCGCCTTCTTGGGGGAAGTGGGGAAGACGGCCCCGCTGTGGTCCTTGGGCCCAGGCATCTTGTGGCTGTGGGTCCCCAGGGGGTCCAGACCTATGTCCAGAGGGGCTAGAGCCCTGCTGGATTGAGGTGGGGTCACATAGGTGTCAGGCTAAGTTTGCAGTCCCCTTGGGGTTTTGGACGCCTGTGGCACTTCAAGGTGGCCTCAGCTGTGGCCTTCTCTGTAGGAAATTGTGACCATCGTGGTATTCGGTGTGGAGTACTTTGTCCGGATCTGGGCTGCAGGCTGCTGCTGCCGGTACCGTGGCTGGCGAGGGCGGCTGAAGTTTGCCCGGAAGCCGTTCTGTGTGATTGGTGAGGCCAGTGGGCTGTCAGTGGAGCAGGCAGCAGTGGGTGGCCTGGAGAAGCTAGTGCTGGGTTCTGCGTTGGCCACAGAAGGCTGAGCCCGATGCAGCCCAGGTCCTTGTGGAACTTCCACCTCTGACTTGGGTTGGAGCTGTGCTAGTGTGGCCTAGGTGCCTCGTGAGGGAGGAGGTGCCCGTTGGGGTGGGCTGCAGCAGCTGTCCTTCTTGGCACTTTACTGGATACTGGTCCCCTGCCCGTCCTCTGGGGTGGGAGCAAAGGTATGTGCCCCTGTCCTCCGGCCCGGAGGAGGGAGGGCCGGCCGGCTTGAGTGCTGTCTGTCTCCTGCAGACATCATGGTGCTCATCGCCTCCATTGCTGTGCTGGCTGCCGGCTCCCAGGGCAACGTCTTCGCCACTTCTGCACTCCGCAGCCTGCGGTTCCTGCAGATCCTGCGGATGATTCGCATGGACCGGAGGGGGGGCACCTGGAAGCTGCTGGGCTCTGTGGTCTACGCCCACAGCAAGGTGAGCATCCCCTGGTGGCGAGGTCCTGGCCTGCTCTGGGCTGCTGTCTGCCTGGCTCCCTGCTGCCCTGCGCTCCGCCCCTGTCCTGGCCAGGCACGATGGAAGGCTGAGGAGCCCCTCCCCCTCCTTCTTGGGGTTGCTCTGTGACTCTGCCCATTTTGGTCATTTGTCCCCGGAAAGCTTTTCTGCAGGGCTAGTCACCTGCCTCCCGCCATGAGCTGGTCTGCTCTGTGGTTGGGTGTCTTGTTTCTTGGTTTCAAGGGCCTGGATCAATATACCACCCAACTTACCTTCCTGGGTGGTTGTTTAAGCTGTGGCTTGTGGTAGCTGCTGGTCAGGGTACCCATGGGGTGTCCACGGCCACACATTCTGTGTCCAAGGGGTCCTGGACTCCCAGTGGCCCAGATGCAGTCCTACCATGCTGTGCAGTGAAGCCAGCCTGTGTGGTCATTTTCCCAAATTTTCCTGCTGCTGGGACCCTGAGGAGGTTTGCTGCATGTGATGGCTTTGGGCAGGAAGGGACCTCTTGCGGGGACTGAACCTCCAGCTGCATGCTCCCATCTTCCTGGATGCTGGAGGTGCTGGCATGCTGAGGCCAGGGTCCCTTTTTGGAGCTCTCAGGGCTCTCAACAGTTCCCCTGCCTCAGGCTTGCTGGCTGCTGGGGAAGATGCCCCTGAGTCCTAGGTAGGCGCTGGCATGCTGAGCTGGTGGGCACTGGCAGCCCTATTGTCAGGTCGACCACGCACAAGGGAAGAGTCACTGAGGCCAGAGCTTGTGTTGGCAGCTGCCCCTCCCTGTCCTGAGGTCACCGTGAGTCCTCCCACTGACCCCATGCAAGGCTGAGCTTCTGCTGGTCTCAAGAAAAGCTCAGTCTCTGAGGCCCCGGAGACGCGGAGCCCTGGGGCTGGATGCTGCCCAGGCTGGCCTGAGGGGGTGGTGACATGGTCCGTCTGCTTTGCAGGAGCTGGTCACTGCCTGGTACATCGGCTTCCTTTGCCTCATTCTGGCCTCATTTCTGGTGTACTTGGCAGAGAAAGGCGAGAACGACCACTTTGACACCTACGCAGATGCACTCTGGTGGGGCCTGGTGAGTCCTAGCCATGGGGCAGCGGGTGCTTCCCTGGAGACACTGGCCTCTCTCTGTTTCTTCTTCCTGTACCCGGCAACTCTGGGTCTGCGGCCCAACCCAGCGCCTGCTCTGGCCCAGCTGGCTGCATGTGTCCCTTGGTAGCCACCTGCTGGCTGCCCGTGGTCACAACCGCGTGCTGGAGATAACTGCTGAGGCTGGTCTGGGCCTTGGCTGTGTTGGTGGGTGTGAAGACGGGGCAGCGGGGCTCCTGCCTCCCCACTGACCACCCTTCCCTCTGAGTCATGTTCACCTGAGATTGTTTTGGGGGGTCACCAAGAACAGTGGGGGAGCCTGTCAGGGGTGTCCAGTTTGGCGGTCTGACCCCTCTGGCTGCAGCTGTGCATGTATGGAGGAGCAGGCTAGACACATGGCTGTCTGTCCCCAGGACAGGCTGTCACCATCCTGGACTGCCTGCTCCTGGCCCATGGTGGGGCAGGGGAATACAGAGGGACACTGCCCCTGGCTGCCCTGGAGATCTGGAGCCCAGAGCAGCAGCCCTGCTCACAGCCACCCCGGCTTTGCTCTGCTCAGCTCCTGCGCTGCCCCTGGCCCTTGCACCTGCAGTTCCCCATGCCTGGCTCTGCCCGGGCTCCTTGAAGGTCCCTCCTTTGGGGCATCTTCTGAAAAGGGCCTTGGTGGGCATCTTTGGAAGTTCTCTTTCCTGCTGGGGTGGGGACGGGTATCACACCCCTGAGGTCCGCTGCGTTCAGAGCTCAGTGTGTGACTGAGCCAAGCCCCAGGCCCCACCAGTTAGCATGGGATGGCTCACCCCTGGCTCCTCCTCCAATACCCTGGCTGCTCTGAGCAGGGGGGTGTGCAGGGCAGTCGGCTTCCTTGGGAGGCCCTGAACATGCTGGCTGTGTGGCCTTGGCCCACGGCTACCAGGAAGAGGGGTGGGGGATGAAGACAGGGCACAGGGTTACGGATGTCGTCCTGTGTGGCTGTGAGGCCTGGAGTTCTGCATCCTCCATCCCCACCAGGACGGTCGGGGATGAGGCAGCATGGGGTGGGCAGTGCTGCGTGCCCAGGCTGGGGGCAGAGGCACCTGGAGCCCACCAGCCGTGCACAAAGCACCCGGGCTCTGCTCTGCCAGGGAGCTGGCTTGGCTCTGGGGTCCTGTGTTGTGACCAGGTGGCCCTGCAGCCCCTCCTTGGCGAAATGGCCTGTCCTCCTCCAGGAGGCCACAGCTTTCTCATCTTTCTAAAGTGAATGAAAGTTTTTGCCTGTGTCCTTTCAAAGCAATACTGTGTGCATTTAAAAATGGCCGTTGCTAAAGTCCAGCTCACCCCAACTCCAGGGCCTTCTGTGCCCCACTCTGACTGCACACTCCTCGCTGCCCGCGACAGAGTGCGACACACCTCAGCCTTCTTTCCTGCTCTGCATACCCCTTGGTCTGGGGACCTTCCACGGCCTGGCCTGCTTGGCGCCCAGGCCCTCTCTGGGGCTTCACCTTGACAGCAGGCCTGACGCCCGCTGAGAAACGGCTTCAGAGCCCAGGTGTGCAGAGCATCCCGAGTCTGTCAGAGCTATCATGGAGCGCCTCCCACTGCCTGCCGGGCTCATGCCTAGGTGCCCAGCCAGGCTGCTGCTGTGGTCCCTCGGCCGGCTCTGTCTGCCCTTCCCTGGGCTTGCTCTCCAGGATTCTTACAGGCCACGCCCTCCCACCTTACCCTCCCAACCTCTCCCTCCAGAGGCCCCGCCCTCCAGAGGCCCCGCCCTCCAGAGGCCCCGCCCTCCAGAGGCCCCGCCCTCCAGAGGCCCCGCCCTCCAGAGGCCCCGCCCTCCAGAGGCCCGCCCACTGGCCCTGACTCTTGGGGCTCCTCTGGTCTCCTCTCTAGGTCCCTGGCTTGCTGCCTGCTCCCTGCTCCCCTTCAGTCGCCAAGCACAGCCCAAGAGCTGGGAACACCTGATGCCTCTAGGGGGATGGGGTGGTGGTGGGCTTTTTCCTCTGTTTGCTTTTGCATGCAGTAGCTGTGGGGGTTGCTATGGGAAGTGAAATTGGATCAGAGCCCCCTCAGTGACCCTCCCCACATGGAAGGGAGATTTGTGGGGCATTGGTGGGCTTGTTGTTGAAGAGCAGCTGATGCTGACTCGGCCCGTGTTGGGGGAGTGTTCCCCGCCCCTGCATGTCCCGGCCCGGTGACTGGCCCATCCATCTGCCCCCAGGGGTGTTAGGAGCCCCTCCAGGACCCCGCAAGGGCTGGGCAGGAGGCTCTGGCTCGTGGCTGTGGGCCTCCATGCCAGCCACTGCCCCACAGATCACCCTGACGACCATTGGCTACGGGGACAAGTACCCCCAGACCTGGAACGGGAGGCTCTTGGCAGCAACCTTCACCCTCATTGGAGTCTCCTTCTTTGCTCTTCCTGCGGTATGCCCTGGGCCCCTTCCTGCTTGAGTGGACAGGGTCTCTCCAGCTGTCTGTGGGACCCTCCATCCCTTGGGATAACCCAGGAAAGGAGCAGGGTCGCTGCAGACCCACAGCCCAGGGAAAGGCCCCCTTCCCTGGACCAGGCCTGGAAACTGGCCCTGAGCTGCAGCCTCCCCGTCGGGCCCCAGGCTTTGCCCTCTCCCCTGCCCTCGGGCACCATGGCTCCTCCGGTCAGCGGGCCCTGAGCAGCGGGGTCCTCACACCAAGAGTGATGCTGTGAGGGCACGGTGCTTCGTCCAGGGCTCTGCTGGTCCTTCTCTGTCCACACAGGCTGAGGGCAGCTGCATGGGGCGTGGCAGGGACGGATGGGGAGCAAGGGCTCCGCTTTGGGTTTGGCGGGGCACTGCTGTCCCTTGGCCTGGCCTCTGGGTGGTAAGGGAGGCAGGCGGCGGGAATGTGTGGGGAGGGTGGGCGTGGGCCAGCCCGATGAGATGGGGCAGTGGTCCTTGTTGCGTGGTCTGACCTTAGCGACTTGCAGGGCATTTTGGGGTCTGGTTTTGCCCTGAAGGTCCAGGAGCAGCATCGGCAGAAGCACTTTGAGAAGAGGCGGAACCCAGCGGCCGGCCTGATCCAGGTCAGTCCTGCCCCGCCCCGCAGCCCTCCTGCCTCCCTGCTGTTTCCTCTGTGGGCTCCCCTGGGAGACATGACTCCTCAGTCAGCGAGCAATGGTTCAAACAACTGAGGCACGCAGCAGCTGGGTGGGCCTCCTCCTGGGCGACCCGGCGTCGACAGGTGCTCTGAAGAGCCCTCGCTTAGGAAGTGAGTAGTGCCTGAACTGAGGGCGCCTCGTCCTGCCCCAGCAGAGCCTGCTCATCTTGCTGTTCGGGGCAGGCACCCCGTGGGCGCCCAGAATGTGAACAGAAAAGCAGATTCCTGGCAGGGCCTCCAGCTGGACAGAGCAGAGCGGCTGCCGGCCAGATTGGCCCTACCTCTCTCATGTCTGTTTACATTTTATTTTATTTTTTTGAGACAAGATCTCGCTGTCTAGTCCAGACTGACCTTTAGCTTACTGTGTAGCCTTGGCTGGCCTCTAACTCACAGAGATCCTCCTGCCTCAGCCTCCCAAGTGCTGGGATTCCAGGTGTGTGTCACCACACCTGGATGATCTGTCTTTTTAAAGATGCAGCCCTCGGGGTCTTGGTCTTTGGTCTAGCCTGTTTTTATGTATGTGTGTATACGTGCGTGTGTATACTGACCTGTACCTAAAACCCCAAATGATTATTTTTTGTAATAGTAAAAGTACAGAGAAGAATAAAAGTGCTCCGCAGTCTCACCCCGCTACTGGTAGCTGCAAAAGTGACCACTTGGACGTCAGGCTAAGAGGGTGCAATTGAGTGGGGAGGAGCAGAAATCTCTGCTCAGCCCCTCCTGCCTCCTCACCAAGTGCACCCTCAGCAGTGCCTCTGAGCTGATCCCAAGAACTGGCTGCACACCGCCCGTGCACCTGTGAGGGTCTGAGAAGCCCCGCCTCGCTGGGAACCACGCAGCATCTCATGCCTGGCTTCGAGACAGCTCGGGCCTGTAGCTGACGTGTGGTCACCACGAAACCTGCAGCAGGACAGCTGATTAGAGGCCTTTCCTCAGAGGCCAAGCTTCCAGTGGCTTGCAGGGGCTGAAGTTTCAGCAAGTAGAGATCCTGGCAGCCCTAGAGCACTCCTCCTCCTCCTCCTCCTCCTCCTCCTCTTCTTCCTCTTCCTCCTCCTCCTCCTTTCCTCTCTCTCTTGTCCCTACTATGTAGCCTAGGCTGGCTTTGAATTTTCTGCATTCTTCTGCCTTGGTGTCTTGGGTGCTGGCACTGCTTCTGAGAGGTCTGTAACCTTGGAGTGGTTCTGGCATCTAGGAAAGAGAAGACCCCAGGGAAACCCCAGAGGGGACACCAGGCCTCCTGTGCCCTTGTAACGTCTGAGGGATTGTAGGCATCCTTCCAGAAGTTACTGTGCCAGGCCAGTCTGTACCTCCCTGCCTTTGCATTTGGCCCTTGTACACTGAAAATTGTAGAACATTGTTGAAAGAAATGAATGAAGACCTAAAGACATCTCATCATGTATTGAAGACTTGATCCTCGCAATATGGTCTTAACAAAAACTAATCGACAGATTCATTATAAACTGTGTCAAAAGCCCAGTGCCTTTTTAAAAAGAAAGCTGAAAGGGAAAAACTGATTTTCAGGTTCGCACAAGATTTCAGGGGACTCTGAATAACCAGAGCAATCTTGAAACAGAAGACAAAATTGGAGTACTCACACTTTCTGATTTCAAACTTACTACAAAGCAACACTCATCAAAACAGTGTGACTTTTACATAAGGACACGAAGGTGTGTGGCGCAGAGACTCCATAAGCAAACGCGTGTGTCTATAGTGAATTGGGTTTTGACAGATGGTGCGATGGGGGAAACGCGGCCTTCGCCTGGCCCTGTGCTTGGAAGCATGTCACCCTTAGCTCCGACGACACACGGAAATCGACTAAGAACAGACAGAAAGCCTAATGAAGCTTAAAAGTACAGAAATTCTGTAGAAAAAATAAGCTCCATGATCATGACACCCAAAGTACAGGCAACAAAGGAAAAACTGGACGCCAATAAGATTCAAAACTTGTGTATCAAAGGGCTGGGGATTTGGCTCCGCGGTAGAGTGCTTGCCTAGCAAGCTGGAAGCCCTGGGTTCGGTCCTCAGCACCAAAAACAAAAAATAAACCTCTCCTAAAACTTGTGTACCAAAAGACCCTCCTAAGAGAGTGAAAAGGCACCCTATGCAATGCAGAAAATATTGCAATCATATGTGGTAAGAGTTTGTTATCTAGGATACAACAAAAAGCCTTATAACTCAACAAAACTGGGGCTGGGGCTCAGTAGAATAAGCACTTGCCTGGCAAGCGTTCAATCCCTGGTACCACAAAAAAAAAAAAAAAAAAAAAAAAAAAAAAAAAGAAAGAAAGAAAGAAAGAAAGAAAGAAAGAAAGAAAGAAAATTTTCAACAAAAGACCAATACCAAAGGACTCTGGGCAAAGGAACTGGTGTCTCTCCAGGAGGTTTGCAAAGGCAGGTCGGCCCAAGGGAGCAACGCTTGGATGTGCACGTCGGTGAGGAAGGAGTGTGACCCTAGTGTAGGAGGCGCCCTCACGCCTCCTGGTGCTTCATGTTTTTCTGAGATGGAAAATGAGTGCTGGTGAGAATGGGGAGCTGGCCACCGCACGCTCTGGCGGTGTAACGGTGCAGCCTCTCGGCAGCGAGCTGGCCTGGAGCTGTCGCCTTACCCAGCAGTTCCACTTTGAGGTGTGTCGCCAACCAGGAAGATGGGTCCACTCAAGGCTCGCACGTGAGTGACCACCGATGCCCGTAGTGGACCTGGACACAACCTAGTGTCCACCAGAATACGATAAATCCAGGCCACTGAACATCCTTCTGTCCAAGCGGGACGCAGCCCAGCGTGTGCTCCAGCCTGCACGAGCTCAGTGAGAAGCCAGCTGGGAATGGCCACTCGTGCACGTCCGCTGACAGGATGTATCAGAAGGTGGATCTCGAGACCAGCACAAGCTGTGGCTGACAGGTCTCGGGAAGGAAAGAGTGTGACCGATGACCTGACATGTACACGGCTCCCCTTGGGAGTGGTGGAGCCATGGGGTCAGCCAGGCCTGGTGGTGCACACCAGCAATCCCAGTTACATGGGAGGCTGAGGCAGAGTGGCATGTTAGAGCCCTGCCTGGGCAACTCAGCGAGACCCTGCCGCAAAAAAGGTTTTTAAATGGCCGGGGATTTAGCTCAGTGCAAAGGCCCTCGGTTCAGTGCCTAAGTGGTTAAAATAAAGTGGAATTAGCTGGGCATAGTGGCCACACCTCACCTCAGCTGCTTGTGAAACTGAAGGAGGAGGATTGCAAGTTCAAGATCAGCCTAGGCAGCGTACTGAGATCCTGCCTCATAGGGCTGGCCAAATAGCTCAGAGGATTAAAGCACCTGCAAGCAGGCACAGAGACTGGGGTTCAATTCCAGGGCCAGCCATGCTGGCTGTGCCCCCCGGGGCACGCTGAGATGGCAGTTGAGACTGGGCGTGATGATGCTTGCCTGTAATTCCAGCTCTTGGGAGGCTGTGAACAGGCGGATCACTAGGAGTCTGATCTAGTAGTGAGACCCTGAGCACCCTGTAGACCCTTCCGAGAGAGAGAGAGAGAGAGAGAGAGAGAGAGAGAGAGAGAGAGAGATCCTGTTTCAGGAAGTAATACAAGCTGGAGGCATATCTCAGTGGTCGGTGCTGGGCTCAAATCCCAGCACCACAAAGCAAAGGAACAAAGTGAATGTTATGGAGTCCAGCAGGGGGAGGGCCACACAGTGGGCACCCCTGGGCCAGGGGGAGGGCCACACAGTGAGCACCCCTGGGTCTCGGCTGCCGGTACCACTGCTGTGTGTTTCATCACACACCAGGCACGGGGAGCGAGAGAAGCACAGCCCCACTGGGCATCGGCCTGAGTGGCAAGCTCAACCCTTGAAGGGCAGGGACCCCTGGCAGCCCCAGCCTGGAGCCAAGGGGCCAGAGCCTGCCTCTCCCTCCCAGGCCACGCCACCTAGCTCGGGGAGGGCAGTGAGGTAACTGCAGTGACAGCGGTGGCCTGCTCCCCACCTCCCAGCTTTGGGGTGGGATCCTGCCTGTCCCCGCCATGAGGGTAAACTGAAGCTGTGGGATGGGAACAGCAGGGGGCTAAAGTTCTGTGTTGGGGTGAGGACCCCAGAAGGGGGCCACCAACGTGCTGACCTCCGCCTCTCCCTCTGCAGTCTGCCTGGAGGTTCTACGCCACCAACCTGTCGCGCACAGACCTGCACTCCACCTGGCAGTACTACGAGCGCACGGTCACGGTGCCCATGTACAGGTAGCGCCGCGTGCCCTCCTCGCCGCGCGCCTGCCTGGCACATCAGTTTCCTTTTTCAGTTTCCATTTGTTCTTGAACCCCCTTTTGTTGTTCATTGTTTTGGTTGACTGAGTTTTGTTTCTCTTTTTCTTTAAAGTTTATTTTTCAAAACAGAATTCTGGTGTGATTTGTTTTAATTTGTTCCTTGTTTCATAGTGTCGTGGCTTTTGTTTTGCACCCCCATCCCCTGCCCTCTCTTCCCGTCCTTCACTGGGTGCATTGTGTCAAGACACAGTGGAGACAGCCCCCACCCTATCCCGGACAGGCTCATGCTGCCCTGGGTGCCTCGTGGGCCACTCCTGGTGCCGAGGCCCTCACTGGCCCTAACTTCCAGCTTGCAGGGGTAGCGGGAGCTTGGCTTGTGGTGAGGGCCGGGGGCCAGTCGTGAGGGAAGGAGGGTGACCCAGGCCCCAGGAAGAGACAGGGACAACCCCCGCTGTGCAGACAGTGCCTGCCCCAGCTGGACTGTCCAGGTACCAGCCCGGAAGTGTCTCCAGCAGCAGGAAGGTAGCTCAGGGTATCCTGGGTCAGCTGGGCAGAGGGCCTGGTAGCCACTATGCATGTGTGGATGAGGGCTGCAGGTGCCAGTACTGGGCCATCCTTGGAGCTCAAGGGCCAGATATTGCAGGCCTGGGGGTCTTCTGGGTGGGCATCGTGCTGCCAGCCAGCCACCTGCACTGAGGTGGCCGCAGCCCTGGGACCTTGTCCTGCGCCCTCTCAGCTGCCGGTTCCCTGTGGATCATGACATCAGAAGCCGCCCCCGTTCTGGCCCTGCCCTTGGCACCCACCCACTGGCATCTCTGGCCGCTGAGCCCTGGGGCCAGGCCATCTGGTCCTCCTGGACACCAGCATCTAGTGTTGCCATGTCCCTACGCCCCTTGCCAGGCGGCTGGGATAGGACTGAGCCTTGTGCTAATTTTCTTTGTTCTTTTGTTTTCCCCACTTCCCTTGATTATTTTTTTCATTTTGTTTTTCTTGTCCCGTTCTTTTTAAAATTTTGGTTCTTTACCCTTTGTGTGTGTGTGTATGAAAACACTTGAAAGCTCTCAAACCCAAACCTACGGGGCGTCCAGGTAGGAATGCATGGGACTGAAAGCTGTGTGTGTGGTTCTCGTGCCGTCTAGTTGCTCCGGGACGAGCTCTCCGGGCCTGCCACCCGCTGCCGTGGAGCTGTCCCCTGCCCCAGTGGTCCTCATGCTGGCATCGTCAGACCTGCCGCCCTGTGCCTGTCCCCTGCCTGGAGCTCCCTGCCAACTGCGCCCTCTCCCTGACCCAGAGCCAGCCTTCCTCGCCTCCCTCCATTCCTCGCCTCCTCCGCAGCCACCGCTTCCCTGGTGCTGGGTCCATTTGTCCTCAGGCCATTTCTGTTCCTTGTCCCGCTTTGTGTCTTGTCTACAGCTGTGGTCGTACCCACCCCGTTAGCCCCATTTAGGAACACAATGGAGTTGGGTGTGGGGCTCGTCCCACTGCTCAGAGACCTGGGTCGAAGGCCAAGGACTCATTGCAGACTGAAGGCCAGCTCCCCCTGAGGGTGCCTGTGTGGTCACCTGCCTTTGGGGGTCCCGCTTCTTGTGCCCCTCTGCATTGCCTAGTGACATGTGGACACTAGGCCTCAGACAGGGCCACCTGTGGCTCCTGTGTCAGTGTGACCATGCTGGTGGCCCCTTCTTGGGCTGCTGGCTGCTGCTGGAAGGGGGTAGAGGCCCGGGTTCTCTCCTCTGAGGGCTCTGAGTCCCTCAGAAGGTCTGGCCTGGCACACAGTGCAGGGGCCCCTCCCACCTCCCAGGAGTGTGTGGGGCTGGCAAGACAGTGGCAAGTTCTAGCCCTCTCCAGTGGGCACTGTCCCTTGCAGCATGCAGTGCCCTGCCCTGCCACAATGTTAGGTCGAGCCTACATGGGCAGGGCCACTGTGGTCGACCGTGGCCAGGCAGGCCAGGGCATCTCTGTCCCACATTCCCTGCAGACCCCAGAGGTGAAGTTGGCCCTGGGAATGGGTCCTCCTGCTGGACCCCCTGGGCTCCCCAGTATGAGCTCTTGACTGTGGGTGGTTTCCTCTGCCTGTTTTCTCCAGCCTGCACTACACCCAGAAATCAGACACCTCAGTGTGTATAGAGCTTCTGGGTGGCTGGAGCTGTCCCGTCAAGTTGGTAGAACCCCTAGACCAGCTGGTGCTCCTTCTTGGGCCACTACTCTTGGCGTGTTGTGCCCCTGTCCTTTAACTGGGGAGGGCGGGCTGGGTGTGTGCCCGCCCTTGCCTGCCCCGTGCCTGCCCCGTGCTGCTCTGTGTCCCAGGCATGATGTCTCCTCTGGCTCCAAGAGCTGATGTCTCTAACCTGAGTTGGGGGCGGGGGGGGTGGGGAGTGGGTGGTGGGTGGGAGGAGCTACCTTGCCCTGGGACCCCTGCGGTGGGCCCCAGGAGTGGAGGTTGAGTTGGGGGGCAGTTATGTCCATGGGTGTGGGCTGGCCTGGGAGCTGCTGACTAACCTGACTGCTGGGCCCTGCTGAGCTGAAACCTGGCCGGGTGGGGTGGGAGGGCAGGAGAAGCCCTTCCACAGCACTCTCTTTTAAGCATCTGGGGCCTGCTCTGCTGGGCTGCAGAGGTGGTGCTGGTGCTGGTGGTAGTGGTGGTGAGGAGGGCCTAGTGTAGCCAAGCAGCCATGGTGCACCAGTGTAAACAGCTCACTTGCGGGGGACCCCATAGGTGAGGGGAGGGGAGGCAGACAGGGCAGCAGGGCAGTGGGCCAGCACAAGGGGGAGAAGCTTCCTGGTGGAGGAACAAGGTGGACATGGAGCAGGTCCTGCTGGCAGGTCTGGTGGAGTCGGTGATCCTGTGCAGAGGCAATGGGAAGCCATGGGGTGCTCAAGCAGCAGGGTAGCCAGGATTCTGGGCACAGCTGAGGGATTGAGTAGGGTGGGGAACGGGCCAGAGAGTTGAGAGGGGCAATGCAAGCGGAGGGGTGGGGGCCACACAGAGAGGCAGGCTGGGCAAGGTGAACTGTCCTCAAGCCCCCAGGCACAAAGACACAGGGGCTCACTCTGCAGCTGGGACAAGCAGGGTGGACATGAACTGGGTGGGGCTTGTGGTCCTGGTCAGGAGTCCTGACTGAGAGCTAAGGGGCTCTGCAGAGTTGGGGTGCACGGAGCAGGGTGGCGCTGCGTCAGGCCAGGAGTGCCCAGACCTGGGGCAGTGCAGTGAAGGGCCACCGTTCTCCATGGAGGACACCCCCAGGCCCTGGACAGGAACGTGTGGGAGGGAGGGCAGCATCTAGGAGGGAGTAGAGGGTCTTGGGAGCGAGGTTACTAGAGCAGGTGGCAGGGACAGGTCACTCTCCCTGGAGGCTGCTGGCGCTGGAGGCTGCCCTCGAACCTGTGCGTGGTCACGTGTCAGCACCGGTGGGGCCAGGCATGAGGCTGTTGGGGGTGGGTGAATAGGTTCAGGAGAGGAGAGCAGAGCCAAGCATTTGTCAAGGGTCCCTGGGGGGCCTGGGACTGATGAAGTAAAGCCCTTTCTGTGATCTTGGCCCCTGTCCCACCTCAGCTTGGCAGGGAAGGTGGCTCTGCAGAGGGAGTTGGGAGCCCGGGCCTGTGTGTTAGGGTGCAGTGTGTACAGCTGTGCTGCCCCAGGGGTGTGCGGGCTCAGCAACAGAGGAGAGGAGGGGATCCCCAGCTGGGATCAGGTCTCCTGGCCCCTCATACTGCAGGGGCGGTGCTCATGGACTGTGTGGGGCATGCTTCTTCTGTGCCAGGGTCTGAGGCCCCCAGGAACACCCAGAGTGAAAATGGCCCCAGGGCCTGCAAGGTGGGGGGACAGTGAGCCCAGGGCACAGCCTCCCCAGGCCCCCGGAGGGCCATCTCATGGAGGCTGGGCTGCACCCATGCCTTCTCCTGGGTGTCTGCACACTGGTGCAAAGGGCCCGGCAGTCACTCACGTCTCCTTCTTGCTCCAGACTCATCCCGCCGCTCAACCAGCTGGAGCTGTTGAGGAACCTCAAGAGCAAGTCTGGACTTACCTTCAGGTCAGCTGTAGGGTTGCTTAGCCGGGGCTGCAGCTTTGCAGTAGGATCCGCATTTCTGACCTCCTCGGGGACCCCCCTACTGCAGGCAGGGGCAGGAAGTCCTGGGTCCTGGGTCCCAAACAGAAGCTGGGACTCCGGGGTACACTAGGGATGGTCTTGGCCACACAGGTCTTGGCCATGTTGGGGGTTTCCCTTTCCTCTTCTGACTCAGTCTGGGCCCCTATTGTCAGAGGAGTGGTTGGTCCCATGGGGTGGGCATAATAGGAAGAAGGGGGTGAGGACTGTGCTCAATATGGGCCAGCTGACCATGGCTTGCACCCTGGGCGACCCAGGTGGGAGCAAGGGCCCCAATTCTGACTCTCCCCAGGGGACCCTTCTTTATTTATTTATTTATTTATTTATTTATTTGGCGGAACCGGGGATTGAACTCAGGCCCCTGCGCTTGCCAGGGAAGCGCTTATTGCACTGAGCCATCTTCCTGGCCCCTATTTTTTATTTTTTAATTTTTTTGTATTTAGTGAAGGGTCTACAGGGTCTCACTACACAGATTGAACTTGTAGTGGTTCTCTTGTTTTCGGCTTCCCAAGTGCTGGGATTACAGGTACGAGCCACCATGGCCAGTCTCAGTCACCATCTCAGTGCACCCGGGGTGGGGCCAGCGTGGCAGGCCGGGAATCAACCCTCCAACCCCTGTGTCTGCATAAGCAGGCACTTTAATCCACTGAGCTATCTGACTGACCCTAACCCTCCTTTAATTATAAGTTCTACAACTCCAAAGTGCTTGGGCTGGCACAGAGGTGGGCAGGTGGAGGCTGCTGTCAGCAGAAGGGAGAGAGAGTCTGAGTTCCAAGCAGTTTTCTGTGTCCCACGAAGCCTAGCAGGGCAGAGAGCTTGCAGTGGGTTGAATAGAGGTCCCTGCCTCTCAACGGTAGGTTTTGCAACCCACGAGCAAGACCTTCAGCATCTACCTCACACTCGGGGCTTCCGGGGGCGCCAAGTCTGGTTTCCGTGTCCTGTGAGAAAGTTAGGGGAAGTTAGGGGATAAACACTCAGGGGAGAAGACCAAGTGCAGCAGAGGCAGGGTGGAGTGCTGGCAGCCGCAGGCTGAGGAGCACCTGGAGGGCGAAGCTGGCAGGACAAGCAGGGGTCCTCTCCCGCTAGTTCCCAGCCCCATGTGCCTTCGGTCACGGCAGCTCTAGCAAACTGATACAGGTTTGGATTCTGGGAAATGGGGTGTTGCCGTAACGAAGCCCAAACACACGGAAGTGAACTGGGAACTGAGTAACGAGCAAGGGCCGAACAGGGTTGAGGTCCAAGCTGGAACAGATCCCCTTGCCAGAAGAGCGGGTTGGTGGGACAGAGGTGTAGAGGGGCTTCTGGAGGCTCAGGAGGAAGTGACATGGTCGAGGAAGCCGGCATCATCCAAGAGGAGACAGACATACTGCCGTGAACAGGGTGTTGCCGGAGACACAAATGCTGAAGGTGCTGCTCATGCTGCTGGGAAGGAAGCCAGCAGAGGGGCCATCGAGCACGCAGCAAGGATTCTCCTTGTGGGGTAGCAGAGCTTGGCTGGGCTGTTCCCCTCTGGCGGCGGAAGTGGAGTGTCTAGGTGGCGAGCCGAGATATTTGTTTGAGGGAGCACACCAGGAGGTGCAGCCTGATTTCTTTTTGCTACTCATAGTAAAGTTGCAGAAGGGGACTAAGGAGAAGCTACTAAATGAAACCAGCACTTGCAGGTTCAGAAGGTCTGAGCTGGCTCATAGCAGAGGACCCTAGCTCCAGAGTCACTCATGGGAAAGCCAGCTCTGCAGCCAGGGCCACCAGTGGGACTGGATGGTCACTTGCTGATGACATCAGGCATGTGACTCACCAGTCAGCCACCTCAGCAGAAGCCAAGAATAAAGATGACTTATCCGGAAGGGTGCACAGAGCACTCTGCCACGGATGGCGCTGGCCTCTGCCACAGTCGCGAAAGGCTGCCAGTGTGGACCAAAGGAAGCTCGCCGTGCTGCTGCGATGGCGCATGCAGGGAGTGCTCACAGGGGTGCAGGCTGCGCAGCCAGAAGCCATTGACTGCCCAGAGCCTGAGGCCACGCGGGATTCGCTTGTTGGCTTTCCCGCTTGGGGAGTGAGGACTCTGTTGTATCTTCCTTTGTGGGTGGCTACAACTTGTCATGTTGCTCTGCTGTTGTAGTTTATGAACAGATAACCTGTTCTGAGATCTCATGTCCATGTGCTTTTGCCCCAGGATGGCCACCCAGAGGCTCCTCCACACCTGACTTAAATTACTTAGATGATTTAAGATGATGAAATTTGGGACATTTTTGAGCTGACAGGGTTTAGATGAAAACTTGAATGCCACAGTGGGTTGAGATTTGGGAGGATATTGGGACGGGTGAATGTGTTGTGGGTGCAGGATGGAAATTAATTTTAGGGATCATGGGTTTTGAATGCTGGGCCCCCAAAATATGTCCGTGTCTCCGAACCTGTAGATGTGACCTTATTCAGAAAAAGGCCTTGGAGGTAGTGAGGTCATCTGATTGCCCACAAGCTGCAGCTCTGCGCAGCTGTCCTGAAGGCGCTGAGGAGACACAGGACACAGAAGAGATGAGCCCTGCAGCAAGGCAGGGTGCAGCCCCCAGAAGAGGACTAGGCAGGAAGGGCTTGGCCATCTCCCTGCACGAGCCCCTTCTGCCTTTGGCACTTGTGTCGTTGGACTCAGAGGAACTTCAGCAGGACAGACAGCCTTCTCTGAACCCCACCATGGGCTGGGGGTGGGGCCCTGGGCCGGGGGCAGGGGACGGCCCTGGGGGCACTAAGGGAGGTGCTCTGGGGGCTGGCCGGGGGCTGGGTGGTGCTGATGCTTTTGTCTCTCTGTTTGAAGGAAGGAGCCCCAGCCGGAGCCAGCACCCAGGTCAGTTCCTCCTGCCCCCAGCTGTGTCTGCCGCGTGAGCGCACCCTCCCTCGCTCCTGCTCCCTCTGTGTGTGCACTGCAAGGCTCGGGGCGAGGGCTGCTGTGCGGGCCATGTGTGCTTCCGTGTGTGAGCGTGTGGCTGTGTCACAGCACCCTCCTAGGGCATTGGGCTCACTCTGCAGCACTGTGGGTCTGGGCAGCTGGGAGCTTCGTGGGTGCGTCCCCTCCCGCCGCCCGTGCCTCCGACCTCCCGGGAGACACCAAGGCTGGGGCTTTTCACTAGATTTACAGCTACTCTGAGCTGAGTTCCCAGGAGAAAATTCCTAGTGGGTGGCCCCTTCTGCTAGTCCAGGCTGGGCCAGAAGGGCCAGATGCCTACGGAGTGCCCTTCAGCCTCTGGATGAGACGGAGTCAGAGTCACCTGTCCTTGGGAGTCAGACACCCTCTACCTAGTAAATTTGCATACCCTGGTGGAGACGCTGACATTACCCTGCCCCCTTGCCAGGGTCCGGGCTGGCTGAGGGGCCGTGGGGCTTCAACTGGGTCCTCCCCCCACCCTTTGCACTATGTTTGGTCAAGCTAGATGGGGTCGTGGAGCCAGCTGTGCTGTGGGGGACAGCCCAGGAGCCAGCTGTTGTTTTCCTAGTGATGGGAAGGAAATTGGGGTCATTTCTCAGCGTCCAGTCTAATCTGCTCCCACTGCCGAGCACCCTTGCTGAGCTGCTGAGAGCCATCCGAGAGTGAGGATGTGACCCCTGTCCAGCCTGGGCCCGGGCCACATGTTGCAGGGTAACTGACCCAAACCTTAAGCCTGAGTTGGGCGCCTGCCTGCCTCCCTCCCTCGTGGCCCCTAGACCATAGGGTGGCGCATCTGGCCAGGGGAAAGAGCTGGGCACAGTGCATCGTCCGTCCGCCCGAGCAGGGCTTCACCCCTCATTCATCCAATCCCATGAGAGGGAAGCATAGCTGGAGCTATTATCAAGCATATTGGCGACGTCTCTGCCTAAAACCAGTCGAAGGAACAACCAGTGACTGAAAGCTCCTCAAAGAGGATAGGAAAACTAAGTTTGGAGCTAGAGAGAGGTAGGGCAGCCCATGTAGCATCGGCCCAGTGTGACCTGGCTCTGCTGCTAACCAGATGAGGCAGGAGAAAGCCAGCCCCACCTGGCCCTGGTTGGGATGACGGGGAATGGCGTGCTTGGCCTCACCGTGGGAGCTACCACCAGGACGGGGGAGCCCCCACTCCCACCGTCACCTCAGCGTGGCTGCCCTCCCCTGGGCCCAGTGCCCAGCAGAGGCCTGATGGGGCAGTCCTGTGTCCCTCAGCCAGGGACACGGGGCTGCTCCGATCTGTCCAGTGGGGCGGGACCCTCCGCTCACTCCTGCGCCCCCAGTGCCTGCCCCGTGGAGCAGTGTTCCCCGAGGCTCCTGGCCCCTGGGGTTTCTCAAGCTTGTTGCCGTAGCTTTGGCCTCCTCCACGTGGCTCTCTCTCAGCCTCTCTCTCTCTCTCTCTCCTCCTCCTGCCCCCATTCGGAAAATCTTGCTGCCCCCAAGTGCTCTTAATCACTGTCACTGCCCTTCTCGGGCCCCTTTCTCGTCTGCTCTGTCTTTTGGGATGAGGTGCTGACCCTGAAAGCAGGACGCAAGGTGAGGACCCACGGGAGCCCCCAGCTCTCTGGTATGTTCCGTGGCTCCCCTGCTCCCTGTCCCCGCCACTCCTGTGTCTTCCCTGCGTGGCGTGTCGGTGGTCCCTGCCTGCCTGTGCCTCCCCACGCCCCTCCCGAGGGCCAAGGTCCACCAACCTGGCCCTTGTGGGATGCTCTGGGGTGAGGTGCTCAGCTGGGGCCGCTGATTCATGCCCCACCCCTTGGGAGGGGCTCCAGGGGCGCTTCTTCAAGGAAGACTGTCCACCTGTTCCCTGGAGCACACACCTGCTGGCCAGGTGACAGAGAGTGGCATCTCTGCCCCTGCCTGGGGCAGCCACAGCCTCTCTTTATCACCCAGCACGTAGCAGGTGTGCAGGTCCTTGCTCTTTCATTTAGGCAACGAGTAGCAGATGGGCCTGTCCCTGGGCGGTCCAGTGAGAGGCCTGCTCTGCAGTGTTAAGGGCTGTGTGTCTCCCTGGGGCCCTTGCTGGCCCCACGTCTCAGGCAGGCCAGTGGGAGCTGGTGGCCGAGCCCCTGCCTTCTCTGAATGCAGAGCCCTGCTGCCCTATCTGGGCAGGGTCCCAGCTGGCACCATCCAGGCAGGGCAGGTGGGTGGTGTGGACACAGGGACCCTCTCTCAGCTGAGATCCTGTCTCAGAACATGAGCTCAAGGCGGCCAACCTCAGCAGGCTGGGATCCTCCGCCCCTGCAGGACCCATGTGACTGGGCTAGTTTTTCAGGGGTCTGGGAGGGGTCTGGGAGGGGCAGTTGGGGCAGGGGCGGGGCTCCAGTGCTGCTCTGGTGTGTCCCTTGTGGCTGCGACTGCTCTGACCTGCCCTCTGTAGTCCCACCCTCCCTCACCGCCTCCCCACACCTGGAGGAGCCCCTGCCCAGCTTTGCCCTCTGGCCGGCCGTGTGGTTCTCCTCCTCTGGGGAGGCGTGTGTGTGTTGGTGCCTGTCTGTCCTGTCTGGTCTTGGTCAGTGTCTGTGGGCATTCCCATCCCCCATGGAACCCCTGTGGGCTTGCCTTCCAGCTCCCACCTTGGGCCTAAGGTTTGCCCGGCTGATGGAGGTGGGAAAGAACTCAGTGTTTGCCTCCAGCCCCGGGGGGAATAGACATTGTCATGTCGGCTCCAGTTGGGTCTCGGGCACCCACCAAGCAGTGGGGGTTGCTTGGGGAGGTGGGTGCCTCAGTTAAGAGTGATGGGCCCCTCTGCCTCGGTGCCCGGTGGCCAGCAGTATGGGTCGGACAGTGAAGCTGTCCAGCCAGATTCTGGAAGGGGCTTCTGAAGTGAGATGGCATCTCTGGGGTCAAAACTGGGGGGACCTCCTTCATCCTCCTGAGGGCGTGAGGACCTACAAAGGCTCATGGTCCTGCTTCAGGCCTAAAGCCCGGGCTAGGGCTGAGGGCAACATCTCGACTAGCAGGGTTGGTGTATTTGGGCTAAAGTTAGGCAGGGCTTCTCGGGACAGCTGGACCAGGGGCCGGATCCTGGGAGCTTGGCCCAGGTGGCTCCTCTGAGGTGACCCAGCTCATCCGGTCCATGTTACTTAATCCTGTTTCCAGGAAGTGCTGGGGGAAGCCTGGTTTTCTGCTTCAAAGGCAAATCCCATGTGGCGTGTGGGGCTGCAGCCTACCTGGGCCAGCATCCCCTGTGATGAAGGCCCAGGGCTCCCGGGCCACCGCTTGCTTACCCAAATCAGCAGCGTGTCCTTCGTGCCTAAGTAGAGAGGTTGGTATGTGTAGCGAGGGCCTCAGCTTTTAGACCACTGTGTGCAGGAGCGTGGTGCTCTGCACCTGTCCTTCCTGGAGCTTGTTTTCGATTTGAGGTCGTCGTGCACAGTGGTTCCTTGGGTGCAGGTTGAGAAATGCTGCCCTAGAGGAACTGGCTGTGGCAGCGCTGGGGAGCCTGGAGGGAAATGGCGGGTTTTGTCATTGCTGCTTATTGTTTTCATTTGTGTTTAAAATGAGCATGTCCTAGTGCAGAAGCCAATCTCCAGGGCTTTGGTGAGCTTCTAGGGCAGAATCATTGCTGACTCTTCTTCAAAGGCCGGCAGGAAAGTGGCCTCGCCACAACTGGGATGGACTGGCTCTGGCCACAGTCCTCTTCAGTTGCACCCCAAGCCTTCCCCTTAGCCACCCTCCCGTTAGGGGCAAGCACCGCCCCGGGTAGACTGAGGCCCACTTCTGGCTGAGCGGCAGGCTGGTGCGGTGAGGCCTTGGTGACTGGTTTGAACTCAATCAGGCTGCACATTCTTTTCTCCCTAAAAGGTGCATGCTCCACAGCAGTCGCTGCCAGGTCGGATCCGTCCGGAAGCAGCCTCTGCAAAGTCTTAGCCCATGTATTATTTTTGTTGTTGTTGGCATGAATGTAGCAAAAAATAATACATCTTTTAAGACATGGACTCAAACTCAGGCTTTGGAAGGAAAAGGTATTTTTGGAGGAAAAACAAAACAAAACAAAACAAAACCCAGAATCGTTTTCTCCAAAAATAGGAGACTGTTTTCTTTTCCAGGCTGTGGAAGACTTTTGTGCACCTCCTTTGGCTGTCCTTGCTCGGACACAGGCTCTACAGCCGAGGGCCTGTGAGCCTAGCCCTGCCTGGTGGCCGTGTCTCGGTGCGCCCGCTGTCTGGCGGGCCCTGCCCGGCCCTAGCCCCTGGACTAACTGTGCTCTCCTCGTTTCCAGTAAAGGCAGACCGTGCCGAGGGCGCCTGTGTGGATGCTGCCCCGGACACTCTAGGTACTGCGCCATGCTTGCACGGACTGACGCCCGCTGCACGCTCCCGCCCTCCTTGCTGACTAGAGGTTCCAGATGGGCCGGCCGGTGCCCACCCTGGGCCTGGCCCTCCTCCCTCCACACCAAAGCACCTCTGCTGTCGCCGCCGCCGCTGCTGCTGCTGCTGAGGCAGGGTGCCGGCCAGAGCCCCATTTTATTGTTATGGAAATGCGACACTGCCCTTCAGGGAGCGGCTCCTCCGGGGCTGGTTGGTCTGGCACCTCTACTAGGCACCGAGGACATCCTTAGCCAGCGCCTCTCCCAGGAGGCGGCACGTGGTGGGTGTGCTCGGGTGCCTGGCTCCTGAGACACTCCAGCCCCAAGCCTGAGGCCAAGGCTCCCCTGACTTGCAGGCCTGGTTTAGATCGGACTGGAAGCAGGATGGTGGAAAGGCCCTCTCCCAACCCTGCGCACCTTGACCACACCTGCCCACCCCTGTCTGCTATTGGGTGTGCGGAGGCCTCTGTTCTGCTTGCTCTGGGGCCCTGCCTCTGAGCCCCCCAGTGCTGCCAGCAGCGGCACCCAGTGCCCACGGGTGGGGGCTCACCTGGCCCTGTGCATGCTGCGCGCGAGTCGGTGCCCAGAAGCATGCTAAGCCTCCGCATCGGTGCATGCTCGGACCCTTCTCTGCCAGGAGAGGGGCCTGCAGGACCTCCCTGCCCCAGGGCCTCTCCACTGCCGTCTTCTGAGTCAGTTACTTGTTGGGGAGCCTGCTGCAGCACCAGAAGGAGGGACGCTGCTCGGGCCTGGCTGCCGCTGTCCCGATTGCCTGGTCAGCATCTGTGTCCAGGGTGCTTGTGGCCACAGGATGAATTGAGGGCTGATGGCAGGTTGCTTGGGGACTGGAAAGGTGTGGGAGTGTGGAGTAGGGTGAGCCCGCCAGATCTGCCCTCATGCGCATTCTTACGGAATGGCCCTTGCTCTCCTGGGCATCCTTGGTCCAGGGCAGGTTGGGCAGTTCCCTCAGCTACCTGCACCGCTGAGCCGGTCCCCTGTGTGCTGGCTGGGCCAAGGGCCACCTCATGGCACGTTCCCATTTGAATTTCACCCTGGGAGAGTGGTGGGCAGAGGAAAGGCTGGGCCCACCCCCATTTCGCCTGAGCTTGCCCCTCCCTCGTAAATGCCAAAGCGACCCAACCCGTACACAAGAGGTGGCTCTGGCATGGGCTCTCACCAGGTCAAACACAGAAGCTCTGAGAGCCCCTCTTGTGTTTGCTTTGTCCTTGGCTTGGGCGTAAGGGCAGCTGAGGGTGCCTGGCTGAGGACTGAGTGCCCTGCAGGTCGAGCCCCTCACTCTCTGCTTTGGCAGGGCCCCCCTGCAGACCTCAGTGGGAGTGGAGCCGAGAGCCACCCCCAAGGCCCTGGCTGCTTCCTGGCAGCTCTGTCTCTGCTGAGGCCCCAGGTGATGCCGTGTGGCTCTGGGGCTCAGCTGGCCAGTGCTTGCCATGGCAGACTGATAGGACACTCTGCTGAGAGTCGGAGTGGCCGGCTCAGGCTTCCCTCCTGGAAGGGGTTTATGGAATTCACTTTCAGTCCTTGTGCAGCCCTGGAGACTTGGGGTTCTTGTCTTCTTGGCCTAGCTCGGGCTGGGCGGCCAAGCATGATGTGGCAGGACTGTGACATCACCTTTCCTAACTGCCAGCGCTCAGTGCCGGGCAGCCCCAGGAGTTCCCAGAGCAGGTGACCTTTCGACTGGATTCGGCTGATCAGCCTGGTGTACTGCACAGCCACGCTTCAGGAAGAAGTGACCAGCTCTCCTGGTCTCCTTTCTGTTGTTGCTGAGGAGGGCGGAGGGAGGAATGGAAGTGAGGCCTTGAGTGACGTTAGAAGGCGTGGCGTTCCACGTGTGCTAGAATCTGCCTTGGACGGCAGGGAGGGCCTGCTTCTTGCATATGAAATGGTTGTGGGGTCAAGGAGGAGCCCTTAGGAAGAGGGCTTCCCAGAAGCTGGCATGCCCTGAATGAGGCAAGAGCTGCCACAGCCCTTAGCACGTGGTGTCAGCTAGCTACCTGGGGGGTGGGCTTCTGCTAGGGCAGGAGCGAGAGGGTCACCTGCTCTCAAGGGGTCCTTGGCTCCTGTCCACCAGCATTCCACACAGGCAGATGCTGCTGCCTCTTGGTGCTCTGTGGACGCAGGACCCGTGTGGGCCCTTCACCATCCATTTCCGAGGGTTCTGTGCCCAGACCGCTGCCCCCGTAGGATTCTTTCTTGGCCTTTCCCTTCTGCAGAGACCCAATAGACACACAGCCTCTGAAGTTGCCTGCTTCCTTGGGGTGGGGTGGAGACAGGACACTGGCTCTGTCCCTTGTTTCCAGGATGGGTGACTGCACTGTGGGTGTCTCTTTGCTATGGTGGTCCCTCTGCGCTGTCTGTTGGGTGTGTCCCTTGGGCTGTGGGTGCTGGGAGGGGCTGCCATGGTAGAGGTGGAGAGGGGTCCGAGACGTCCCTGAGGGACCCTGGAGAACTTCCTCTTGGAGGGACTTCTGAGACCCACCTGGCCTCTCTGACTCTAGGACTGATCTCTGGCCCTACCTGGAAGCTGTCACAGGAAATCTGTGGCTCCTGTGTAGCTGATGTGAGTGGTCATCCAGTCCACAAGAGACCTGCTGTTCTCTGGGGTGGTAGAGTGGTTGCCAAGAAAAAGGGAGGCCCAAGAAAGCAGAGCCCATGCTGGGAAGGGCTGTGGGGTCAAAGCACAGTCTTGTAGCCAGCTCCTCTTGTCTGGGGCCAGGGCCTGTGACAGCCAAGGTACCTCTTCCCTGGCGGAAGCAGGGATTTTTGTTATCCAGATTTATCCTGGGAGGGTGGCCTGCAGCTGCACAGCACCAGCCCACAGAGCCGCAGGCAGCTCCCAGGATTTGTCAGAAAGCCTGATGCATGCAAAAAAGAAAAGAAATTGCCGGGAGATAGTTCAGTGGCGTAAGTGCCTGTCTGGCAAATGCAAGGTCCGGAGTTTGATCCCTGGTACTGCAAAAAAGAAAAAAGAAACAGAAAGCTTAGTGCAGCTGGACAGGCCTTGGCTGCAGCCTCAGCCCTCCTGGTCCTGGGGCAGAAGGTGGAAAGCCAGGGTTGAGTAGGGGCAGCTGGAAGGTCTGCCAGGAAAGAGGCTGGCCTGACTTGTACAGATGGAAGGTTCTAGCGAGGAGCCAAAGCTCTTGTGTCCAGTATCATGCTGTGGGGCAAGGTGGTGTGGAGGGGTGTGGCCTCTTATGGAGTGGCTTTCAAGTCCGTGGCCATCACTTCCCACGCATGGCCAGGCTCTGGCCGCACTTGGGTGGCCGCTCCACCCCGCCACATGCTCACCCCAGCAGTTGCTCCGAGCCCCTTGCCTGGTGGTTACTCTTTGGACTTGTGTCTCCCTCTTGTCTCGTGGGGCAGCACTGGCCATGAGCAGACAGACCATGCTATTTCCAGAGTGACTTCTCTTGCTGTTTTTCTGTGTCTGTCTGTCTGTCCACCCATCTATCTGTTGGTTCTCGTGGGAGCAGTCAGAAGGTCAGTTTGAAAGATCGTGTCTTCTCCAGCCCCCGAGGCACGGCTGCCAAGGGAAAGGGGTCTCCCCAGGCTCAGCCAGTCCGACGGTCGCCCAGCGCTGACCAGAGCCTTGAGGACAGTCCAAGCAAGGTGCCCAAGAGCTGGAGCTTTGGGGACCGCAGCCGTGCACGCCAGGCTTTCCGCATCAAGGGCGCCGCATCCCGGCAGAACTCCGAAGGTGAGGCCAGGGCAGTGCTGCTGTCCCTGATGCCGGGTGGCTGCTGGGGAGAGATGCCTGCACCTGGCTGCAGGTGACAGCCTCTTGGAGCAGGCTGTCCCCTCTCTGTCTTTTCTGTTTGAGTTAAAGTTCCCCTAAAATGAAACATCCCAGTGGGCACTGTTCAGCAGCTTTCGTGCAGTCATCCTCGGCAGTCATCTCTGCCTGGGTCCAAGACACTCACTGAGAAAGGATGCTCCAAGCTCCTTGCTTAGCCATCCCCTCCCAGGCCCTCCCAGGCCCCCTCCGTCCCTCCTGGCTCCTGTCCCTGCCAGAGCAGCAGAAGGGTGCTCCAGAGGCCTGTTGTGCTGGGGCAGGGCCTTGTCCTTGTTGGCTGAACAGCGTCCTGGGTGTGGGCGGCTGTCACTGCGGCCAGCTGCCTGTCTGTCACAGTGGCGTTCTTTTAGACCCTCACAGTGGCCACTGTCCAGGGCTGCAGATGCTCGGGGGTCCTCGGTGCTCAGCCGGGGCTCTGCTCATGGTCTGTGTTCTCTTCTACCCAGAAGCCAGTCTTCCTGGAGAGGACATTGTGGAGGACAACAAGAGCTGTAACTGCGAGTTTGTGACCGAAGACCTGACCCCCGGCCTGAAAGTCAGCATCAGAGCTGTGTGGTGAGGAGCCCTGCAGGCGGGGAGGCAAGGCTGCCCTGGGGACCGTTTGCTGCAGGTTCAGGGGACCACTGCTCAGGGACGAGGCGGAGCTGGGCTTGTTGTGCTCACTAGCAGGCTTAGTCCGAGGCTACTTCTGCGTGGGAATCCCCATGGCCAGCTGAGCATCCCTGTCTGTCCCCAGTGTCAGGAGCCAGCGCAGGTGTGGGGATGTCTGAGCGGCCAAGCACTGGGTGTGGCTAGCGTCCGGGGACGGGATGGGAACGGTTATCCCATGGGTGTTACTCCTCCTGGGCCTGCGGCCTTGGAGGAGCTCGGAGGGGACAGACGGGTAGGCACTGGGCCTGGCCAGCTGGGCTGTCGCTGGATGGTCTCTGGCCTGGAGCTCAGAGCTCCACTTGTTCCTGATAGTGTCATGCGGTTCCTGGTGTCCAAGCGGAAGTTCAAGGAGAGCCTGCGGCCGTATGATGTGATGGATGTCATTGAGCAGTACTCGGCAGGACACCTGGACATGCTGTCACGCATCAAGAGCCTGCAGGCCAGGCAAGAGCCCCTCACCGCTGCCAGATGGTGTGGGAGGGTGGAGCCCGGGTCCCAGGGGGCTGTGAGGGCAGGGCGGTTCTCAGGGATGGGACCGCCTCCCACCCACGTTGGCTTCCTGTCAGCTTTCTGCCCTGTCTTCATGCAGTGTGTCTTTAATATTTCTCTTGTTTATCCGTCTCTCCCTCCCACCAGTGCTGCGGTGGGCAAGTGTATGTGTGTGTGTGCTCATGCATAGGTGCACATGTGTGTTATGTGCTTGTGAGTGGGTCTTTGTGTGTGTGTGCACACACGTATATGTGTAAGTGCATGTATGTGTGCACATGTATGTCCATGCATGTGCATATGCTGTGTGTGGGTACATGTGCCTGTGTGCCATGCCATGTATGCATACAAGTGAATCGATGCATACACATGTATGTGCACACATGTGCACACGTGTGTGCATGTGTGTTGGGAATGGAGTGTTTCTACTCAGAGCAGAGGCCGCGGGGCCCCCATGGGCCCTGCTGGCCACAGTCGTGCTTCCTGCGCTGCTCCTTCGGGAGTGCAGGTCGTCGGTCCTGTGGGTCCTGCTGGGGCCCTTCCTGAGCAGGAAGCGGAAGGTGCGGGGGTGGGGGGTGCCAACCAGGCCCCACCAACTCTCCTGAGACTGGCTTGCTCCTTCCAGAAGTGGGTGTGCACACACCATGCACACAGTAGAGCCCTGAGCACACGCACTCACACACGTGCACTCCCTGTGTGCAGACGTGCATGCGTGTGCACACACAGACTCAAGTCCACGCCTGTGTTCTTGCCTGGCTCCCACATACAGGCCCACGCCAGGGGAGCACACGTGTGTGTTGGGGTCCGTGTGGGGAGCCACAGGCGGTCAGGAGCCTCTGGCTCTGGTGGCTTGGAAGGGGCCTCTCAGGCCTGTGGGAGCTGGGCTGCAGGGTGTCTGCATCTCTTCCTGACTCGGGCTGTGGCTGCAATGGCCAGCAGGACAGAAGCTGAGCTTGGGGGTGGGCATGAGACGCCCACCCTCCCACCTGCCTGTCCCTGGGCCCCTCCTGCTCAGCAGGGACTTCAGTTCTGCATTTTCCCTGTACTCTTGTTCTGTCTGGAAAGCAGGCAGTCCCCCCAGTCAGCCTGCTGACGCTGGCCGGTGGCTGTTACTGGCGCCCTCCGGTGACTTTGCTCCCGGCCTCCCCGGCGGTGTCCTGAGCGCAGCCTGGCCCAGCACGGGCTCAGTGCTGAGTTGAACAGGTGGCCTGGAGCTTGGAAAAGGCCTGGCAAGCCCAAGGGCGAGCGAGCGAGGGTGGGTCAGCCGCGGTGGCCAAGAGCCGCTGCCAGCCCACTTTGTGAAGGGGGTTGTCCTGCCTCTGCGTGCCTACAGCGGCTCCCTCTTGGGGTGCTTCACGGTACATTTTGCTGCTGTCTGTTTTCTCCTTTACGCTGCCAGGATAGATATGATTGTGGGCCCCCCACCCCCTTCAACTCCCCGGCACAAGAAGTACCCCACCAAAGGACCCACGGCCCCTCCGAGAGAGTCACCCCAGTACTCACCTAGGTTAGGACACAGCACCTCTTCCCAGCCTGTCTGTGAATGGCCAGCCCCTTCATTCCAGGCCACATGACGGCAACCCTTGCACCGTTCCTCCCCAGACAGAGGGATGTCCAGGTTTCCTCTTCCTGATGAACTGCTAGGCGGAAGACTGCTCCCCGAGTCCTCTGGCCACAGGATCCTTAGCACAGGTGTCCTCGTAGTCTCCAACCACAGAAGGGGGGCTTTGGGCGGAAGCAGAGGCTATCAGTGGCCTTCAAGGTATGGGTTACCCAGCTGCAGATGCACCCCCGCCCGAGCCGAGGCCCTCTGTGGCCCCTTGGGCATGACTCAGGTCTCTGGACACCTGCCCTGCACTGCATGGATCTTACCATGTGCCTAGCGCTGGTCTGGGCGTAGGCGAGAGCAGGAAGTGCCGCTTCCTATGGCCCCTTCTTCCCGCTGAGGTACAGGTGGCAGCAACTGCCACGTGACTCTTAGGAGGGATAAGTGAGAAAGTCCCCCAGCACTGAGCTGACTGGCCCTGAGTTGTTCCAGGCTGCTGTCACAATCAGTACTGCTGGGAAGGAGGATGGTGGGCCTCCCCACCCAGCACGGATGATGGGCAGAATGGCGGTCAGAGCACAGCCGGTGGTTCAGCAGGCTCTTCAGCGTTAATCCAGACTTTCCAAGCCTTTTGGCTTCTCTGAGGCCACCAGGTGACTGTTTCTGTCTTCAGCAAGCCCCCAGAGCAGGCAGGGGAAGGGCAGACTCTACCCCTGCCTAGCAACTCAGGGGCAGTGGGGTCCAGATATCTTGGGGTGTGGAGGGTAAGTGGTACCTGCTGAGCTGCCAGGTGTGGCCTCTGCCCACCCCCTTGGGACAGGGTTGCTGCCCATGAAGCCACGGGGCCACCCAGTGACCCTTCCCAGGAGTGAGGGCTCCCAGGGAGCAGACAGGGCTGTGTTTGCCCCTTCCCATCCAAGGCCACCATGACGGTGCCTGGAGGCCACCCCAAGGGATTGCTGCAGGAGGTGGTGACCAGATGTCAGCTACCCAGACCGCTGCAGCAGGGCCCACAGAAGGTCACATGGGAAAATCCTGGAGGGACAGCCTGACCACTCACTCAGCCCAAAAGGAGTTGACGCCCAGGGAATGCACACAGCTCCCCAGCTGGAGCCTGAGGGAAAGAACCGGCCCTGGGTCCTTGGGGACCCTCTCCTGGACACCCAGCAGCAACACTAGGCTGAGTCCTGGGCCGAGGCTCCATGTGGGACCCACCAGGCAGGCGCCCGTCATGTGGCAGGGGTGAAGGTGCTGTGCGTCTGTGCCTGGACTGTGTGGACACTCAAGCACCGGGGAGCCTGTCCCCCTCCATCGCCGCTGGCATTTGCTTGGAGCCAGAAGGCCCTCCCTACCCTCTTGCTGTGCATGAGTCCAGCATGGAGCTGGGTGGAGCATGAGGAGGCTGCCATGGCTGATGTGAGCCTGAACCTGTTCTGCTTTGTGCGACAGAGTAGGGGTCCCCCCCAGAGGTAGGAGTGCAACCCCCACAAAGCCAGAGACTACTGTGCACAGGGCTGCAGCCTGCAGGGAGACCTGGCTGTGCGACCTGGTCTGGGTGCTATGCTTAGCCACCCTGTCTCCAGCAGCTGAGACTCGGCAAAGGACAAGGTCTTCGTGCCCCAGTGGTGGCCTCACAGCTGCTGTCTCCAGCCCACACCCCTGCCCATGCCAAGACTCTGCCGGCCCTGCAACAGCCCTTGTGGCAACACAATCTGCCCTGCGGCTCTGGCAGGGCTCTGTGGCCTTAGGACGAAGGAGCTTCCTTCCTGTCCTTTGCTGCTTTCTCAGTACGGGGCTGGAGCGCAGAGCCAGTCCATCTCTTGGGTCGGTGCCCCTAGCCCTTCCAAGTTCTGAGAGAGGCTCTCACTAGGTTACCAGGCTGGCCTTGAACTTGTGATCCTCCTGCCTCGCCCTGAGCACTTTGGGGCAGACGTGCACTGCACCCCAGCTTGCCTTTCCTTCTCGCTGGCACGACGGCCCCTGGCCTCCTCTGAGGCCAGCCTGCTGGGCTCTTCGTGCTGCCTTGTGTGGACACCAGCAGGATGCGCTCCTGCATGCCTGTGTGCAGTGCACCCACATTTGTGCACACGCCCGTCGCTGTGGCTGGGCCCCTCCTGTAGTCGTGTCGGTGGCTTCCTGAGCAGCTCTGTGTCGCCTCCTCCTCCTGTGCATGGAGCTGCAGCTTGCCACCTCCCTGCTTCTGTGGTCCCATCAGAACCCACTGTCCTCGGGCCTCAGTGGCACATTCTGTAGGAGTAAAGCTCCAAGGGGGGTATGGTTCCTGGGGCAATGCACAGCAGCCCAATGCCACCGCACCCCTCTCCTTAGGGCTTTCTGTGGAAGAGAGGAGACTTGGGGGACTGTGTGGGGCAGGGACCCCTGCCGAGGAGCTGGGGTGGATGGGTATGCGTCCTTCACTTTACTCCTAATCAATGTGCCAGGCCCCACAGAATGGAGAGTAGGAAGCAGCCCCAGGGTGTCCGGAGGTAGGGCCAGTGCTGAGGCCTGGTGTCCTTCTCCTGGCACCTGCTGCCCCCATTTGGCTCTGGGCTGGGCTGGAGCCTGGATCTGGGGAGTGTGGGCTGTCCCAGAAGGCAGTGGCAAGGCCTGGCCCCACCTTCCCAAACTCATGCCTTGGGGCCGGGTCTCTGTTCCCGGCAGAGTGGACCAGATCGTGGGGCGGGGCCCGGCGATACCGGACAAGGACCGACCCAAGGGCCCAGCGGAGGCAGAGCTGCCAGAGGATCCCAGCATGATGGGGCGTCTCGGGAAGGTGGAGAAGCAGGTGGGAGAGCCTGGGCTGGGCGGGCGTGGTGGGAGGGGTGCACTGGCCGCTCACTGGCACGTCTGCCCCATGGGACCTCCCTCAGGTGGCAGCCCTGAGGGATCTGGTATGCACAGTCACAAGCATCTCTGTGCCTGGGTGAGTGCCTGAGAGGCCTGCCGCACCACACTCGAGGGTGGTTGGCCAGAAGTCCAGCCTGGCTCGCCAGCTCTGTCCTTGCTCCCTTGAGGGTGGGAAGGACCAGCACGCGCTCAAGACCCTTGTCTTGGGGCCTGCTCCTCTACTCTGAGGTCTGAAGGCTGTGCTGCAGTAGCCCAGCCCAGCAGCTGCCTGCCTGTAGGTCTTATCCATGGAGAAGAAGCTGGATTTCCTGGTGAACATCTACATGCAGCGCATGGGCATCCCTCCGACCGAGACTGAGGCCTATTTCGGGGCAAAGGAGCCAGAGCCTGCACCGCCATACCACAGCCCCGAGGACAGCCGGGAGCACGTGGACAAGCACGGCTGCATCATCAAGATCGTCCGCTCCACCAGCTCCACTGGCCAGAGGAACTTCTCAGCACCCCCTGCGGCGCCCCCTGCCCAATGCCCACCGTCCACCTCCTGGCAGCAGCAGAGCCACCAGCGCCACGGTGCCTCCCCTGTGGGGGACCACAGCTCGCTGGTGCGCATCCCACCTCCACCCGCACACGAGCGGTCACTGTCTGCCTACAGCGGGGGCAACCGGGCCAGCACGGAGTTCCTGAAGCTGGAGGACACCCAGGCCTGCAGGGCTCACGAGGGCGCCCTGCGGGACAGCGACACGTCCATCTCCATTCCATCTGTGGACCACGAGGAGCTGGAGCGCTCCTTCAGCGGCTTCAGCATCTCTCAGTCCAAGGAGAACTTGGATGCGCTCAGCAGCTGCTACGCAGCTGTGGCCCCGTGTGCCAAGGTCAGGCCCTACATTGCGGAGGGCGAGTCTGACACAGACTCGGACCTCTGCACGCCCTGCGGGCCCCCGCCACGCTCAGCCACCGGCGAGGGCCCCTTTGGTGATGTGGGCTGGGCCGGGCCCAGGAAGTGAGGCCACCTGGCTGGCAGCCCCGCCTGTGCCACCCTCCAGCTTTGCCTCCTGGTTTGTGGCTGGAGTCCTTGGGCTTTCTCCTGAGGTGATGTGGGCTGTGAGGGTCCCTGGTGGGTCTGGCCCCGGGGGCCCCCAAGGGTGACTGGTGCACAGGGTTTTTGGCTCTTGCAGTGTCATTTTGCAGTTCTTTTCCAAGCTGGGCTGGAAGACTGCGTGGGAGGCAAAGCCAGCTCATCCAGTCTGTTCAGGGGACCATCACCCTGCACAGTAGAAGGGCCGAATGAGGTGGGGACTCAGCCAGGGACATGGGTATAAAGGGACAGCCATGTCCTGTCTCCAGCCTTGAAGCCTTTGGGCAGGGGCTCCCTGGTTTGCCCAGTAGCTCTCAGAGAGAGTGGGGATACTGGGTCTGGACCAAGCTCACACTTGACCTTTTGTCCCTCTGTTCCCACTGTGTGTGTGTGTGTGTGTGTGTGTGTGTGTGTGTGTGTGTGTGGCTCGGCAGAGTCCCTCGCCCGGCAGCCCGGGCAGAGAGCTGTTGGACAGCAGCCTCTCCCTTTTTCTTTGGGGTAGTTTAGGGCAGGCAGCTCTTCTGAAGGCAGCTGCCTGAAGCTCAGGGCCCTTTGCCTGGAGCTGAGGAAGGGGTGGCGCTTCGGGTGTCACAGTGACCCTGGGCCCTCCTGGGCTGGGCCTCCGTGAGGGCCTAGCGTGCAGCCTCATCTTGCAGGGTCTGGGGGCGCCATCTTCCCTGGGCCTGGGGCTCTCTCAGGGTGTGCTGGAGCCAGCAGTACCCTAGCCACAAAAGGTCTGGGTGGTGGCAGCCTGTGGCCTCTCTTCTCCCCTGACTGCTCTGGCTGTGCGTTGGTCGCCAAGTTGTGGCCAGAATTTTGAGAGGTCCATCTACTGAGCAGTTCCACACTGGCCGTAGCCAGGGCCCCCTTGCCCGCCGAGCCCACGCCCCAACAGACCTGGGCGGGGCTGGGTGGGGCAGTCACTGGCCGAAGTCACCCCTCAAACTGCCGGCTCTGAGCTGCAGACAGCTGCTGTGCCTCTCTGGGGGTCCTTTTTGCTGGACCTGACTGTGCCCACCCGCTCATTTTCACCCATGGGCCCCTTGGCTGAGGCCTCTAGGTGTTTTGGGAGTTGGAGATATCTGTCCCCAACCTGGGCCCTGGGCGCAGGAAACCTTGCCCTCCTGTCCTGGCATCAGGGCCTGCTCTTCAGCCAGCTGGGGAGGGGTACCAGCCCAGCCCCTGAGGAGCACAGCCCTGGTCTGCTCCTCCCACTCTGGCCTGGGGGTGCCTGTCATTTGGGGCATGGCCAGGCCTGTCTGAAGTGGCCAGCTCTGTGGTGTAAGCCAGCTGAGTACCTGCCCCAGACACTAACCAGGCCACCTCTCTCCACTTTTGTGAGGTCCGTTCCAATAAGGATGGCAGGTGGGGGGGCTTTGTCTTGGCGGCGGAGCCCAGCTTGCTCACCAGGAAACAGTCTCGTTGGGTCACCTGCCCCTGGCCACCCGGGGTCTTGCGTGCTTGGGACCTCAGGAGCTGCAGCCCCACTTGGGGGCATCTCTTCCAGGCTGCTGGCTTGGAGCCACTGCACATGTTTGCAAGCATCCCCTTGGCACCCTGGTTCTCATGGGCAGCATTTGTGTGCCTGAGATGGTGGTGAGCGGTGTCCCCTGCAGGGTTGCCACTGCCTGTGGGACATGGGCAGGATGAATGGTCACATCCTCACCACTCTCCTCCAGGCCAGTGCGAGCCCAGGGTCTGATCATCCTCTGTCCTTGGTGGTGGCCTGGGGAGGCTCCTGCCATGGGCAGGCAGGGCTCAGCACCCACCACGGCCCTAGCGCAGTCCTCCTCCACCTAGGCCAGGCTCAGCCCACATGGGCTCCGGCCCGGAGGAGGGGCCTCTTGCCCCCCAAGGAGGTCTGTGCTTCACCTCCCGTCCCCAGCAAGTGTCTGGAGCCCAGGCTGGGGCTCTGCAGCATGAAGATGGTTGAACACGTGGTCTGCCCCTAAACTCTGGCAGCCCAGCTGGGCAGCAGGAGGGTCTTCCTTGGGTCGCAGCAAGAAGAATTACAGTTGGGCTGCCAGTGTCAGAAGGAGTGCTCAGGACATGCCGTCCAGGCCCTTTGAAGAGCGAAGTGTGCCGAGTCTCAGGAGGGCGGTTGGGGGCATCTTCTGGGAGAGTGGTGTAGGAGTTCCCCTTGGGGTCCCCTGGGCCTAGCCGAGCAACACAACTGTCTACTGCCCTAGGGTCCCTATCCTCAGAGAAGCCTGACAGGCAGGAGGCTGGAGGTCTCTGTGAGAAGTGTGAGCACTTTCTTAGGTCTGTGTGTGGCTGAGTGGCTGAGGGTCACCCTGTGCCACCCTGTGGCAAAAGTTTCTGGGCCAGAAAGAGCAAGCGTCCCCCTGCCCAGGCGCACCCCTGCCACCAGGTGCACAGTGCACTGTCACACGTGCACAGCAAGCTCGTGGACCACACACCGCCAGCACACTTTCACACACAGGCGCCCATGCACACATGTGGTATGCATACGCTTTCACACACATGCTCACACAAGCACGCATGCATGTACACACAGCAGTACACACTTTTGCGTGTACACAAAGCTCACACACATGCACACAAGCCCATCTACAAGGCAGGCACACTTTCATACATGTGCCTGTGCAAAGCACGTGTGCATAGGTGCAGCCATGGGTGCACAGACGAGCAGGTCACACATGGCAGCGACATACTTACCTACGTGAGCACTCACATGTGCGTCATGCAAGCTCACAGGCCACACAGAGCAGGCACACGCATCCACACATGTACATACGAGTGCACACACATGGCAAGCGCACACCTTCACACGTGCATGCTCCTGCGTGCACACACCGGTGCACCACCTGCGTGGCATCTGCACACCTGCATGCTCTCACGCGTACACAAGATCCCACTCCTACTTCAGCTGCTCTGTTTCTGATCTTTTTCTCTTTGGTCCTTCCTGGTTTAAGCCCCAAGAAACTAATGACTTTACACACTTGGCTCTAGAACGTTGGACACAGGTGGGCTTCTGACTGCCCAGGGCTCCTGGACACTAGCGCTAGAGGGTTCCACGCTGCCTTCTTCTTGTGGCCTGTGGATGCCCAAGGGGCTGGCACTGGGGTCCAGAGCCCCTGGTGTCTGCCAGGCATAGGGCCAGCATTTGTGGTGGTGCTCTCCCTGGGTACCCTTGTCCAGTGGCCCAGCCTCAGCTCCCAGGCCCTCCTCCAAGCAGCCATTGCCTGTCCACCATTGACATTTTCTAATCTGACATCTCTCTATCCTAAATCACAGCCCCAGGGAGACCACCCATGTCCTGTGCTGGGACACCTTCCCCAGGGCCTGGCAGGGCAGACAGCGAAAGCTGGGACCTGGCTGCCTCCTGTGGGACCCACAGGGGCACCAAAGCGACACCTCATCTCCTGGGAGCCTTGCTTCACACCCCATCTTGGGCTGGAGGGTCGCTGAACATGCAGGGGCCTCTATTCACTTGAGTTCCTGCCCAGGAGATGCCCAGCGCTTAACATACTCGTTCACTTGAGACCATCTCCCTGCAGCTGGGCCCAACCAGAGTTGAGGGCACCATGAGGAGGACCACGGGAGGGTTCTGCCCTGAGGTATTGCTGGAAGCTCCCTGAAGGCAAGGGAGCCAGGAGGCATCTCAGCTGGACTCACTGAGTTCCCATCTGGGCTGTGCTCAGCCTGGTTGTGCAGCGTGTAGTGTGGAGGCCACAGGACCTGCCCTGGACCTCACACTGCCAGTCAGACTCCACTCACTTCGCTGCCACAGCCTGAAAACACATGGTGAGGGGTCTTGGCTAGCACCCACTGCGGTGGGGAGACAGGTAAACCCCAGCACCATGAGGCCAAGCAGAGTAGAGGGCAAGGTCCCAGGCCCATGCACAGAGTTTGGGATCAGGCTCCTGACGTGGTCATCGGCTGCTCCCATGCTGTGTGCAGGATGTAGTTGTGCAGCTCACTGGGTCTGCAGGGTGTAATATCCACCCAGGGTGCCTTTTTGGCTGTCCCCCGTGAGCTGTCCTGGTTCTGCTCCTCCTGAGCCCCAGCCAAATGCTAAGTAGGAAGGAAACAGCAGGGAGGACTTCCCGAAGGAGGTGGTATGGAACTGAGGGCCTAGGGAGAAGCCCAGCCCATGCTCCCCAGTTGGAGATTGAGTGTGGGCACAGGGCACTCCCCCCCAGAGTTTAGGGCAGACCCCCTGGGGTAAGCATCAGTGAAGGCTCTGACCTGAGGGCAGCCTCCTTGGGAGGAGGTGGCTTGCAGGGGCTTCTGGGAACAGGGTAGAGAAGGAGGCCCCCAGAGGTGGGGTCCCCAGTCTGCCAGGCCCCTGGAGGGGTTGGAGGTGGGGCCGACTAAGCTGCCATCCTGGACACTTGCCTGGGTGTCCCTGGCTGACCAAGGGTGCTGGGTCGAGCCAGGCCAACCCTGAGCACCCCTATGTACTTGACGCTGTCTGGTGTGGGAGAGGAGGGGACAATCTCTGGGTCCCCGGGACCCTGGGCCTGAGGCCTTGTGTCCCTGGGCCCCTAGGCAGGACTGCACATCATTAGATGCCGCAATCCACCTTGGACTGGGTTTTCCAAAGTCGTTGCCTTAATGCATGCTGACAGGGTCCCGAGATTGCCCTGCCCTTGGCCCTGCCAGGCACAGGCCCATGGAGGTGCCTCCAGGATGGGCTGGCCAGGGGCGCAGAGTCTGGCTGGAGCGGAGCACAGGCAGGAGGAGTCTCCCTGGTCGTCAACCACCGAGACACTCAGAGCCGGCCAACTCCCTCGACGCTGTCCACTGACCCGAGGCCAGCCTTGCGGCCTGCACGCCCACGCCCACGCCCACGCCCACGCCCGCCCATTGCAGTCTGCCCTGGTCGTGACGGTGGCTGCAGCTTCCCCATCTGCGCTGTTGCCTTGGCTGTCTTTGCACTTTCGTTCACGCTCCAAAGAATACTTCGTGATGCCTTCGTCCTGACATCCTCCCGCACCGTCCTGCAGGCGCTGGGGCATTGGGACCCGGCCTTCTTCTTTCGGTGAATGTGTTGCCATCCGCACACCGATCTTGACTTCGTGCATTGTCCGTCTTCTAGGGATAGACGCCCAGGGAACGAACTCTAGTTTTCTAGCGAGCTAGCCGCGATACTCACTTCCACACAGACAGGCTGATG